TATTGGTATAATCTATTCCAATAGATCAAAAGAACGATTTTATAAATAGAATGTATTTATAGATTTGATATAAGGTTTAATAAATAATAATAAAACTATAATTTGGTTTTTACAAAACAAAAGTCTATATTGTTATATACAATGGAGGTAAAGATTATTGCAATTAATAAAGGTACAAAAGAATTTATATAGATAAAAAAAACTTGTTATTGATCTAAAGGAACAATCAGAAGTTGAATTATTCATTTCTATTCTTTATTATAATAATAAAAGTGGAATGGATTGAATAAACGAAAACAAGTTTTATAATAAAACAAAGTATATTCAAATCAGGTAAAATTATATTTATGAAAATATAATTGATATAAAACGAATGTATATAATATAGATTCTAGAAATAGAACAAATAATAGATATATTCACAAAACAATTTATCTACCCTGTGACGGAACAGACGGCTCTCTTCCGCCCACTGGCTCATACTACATATGTAGTATGATAGGACGGCTCTTTTGGACCTTCCTTTCACAGCTTAAAGCTCTAGCTCTACAGCTTTAGACCTAGGCATCGTACGATGCTTATCTCTAGGTCTCTTTCACCCTTTTGGGCCTAGCCCTTATGGCTCCCAATACCTGTATATATAGTCCTCCTTTTAGCATCCTACATAGCTCTTCACTTGTAGATTCTAAGTACACAATCGGAGTCCTGTTTATACCCTTTTGGTCACATACCCAATATTTTGTATTCACCATTTGGGATTAGGTTTAGATTTTGAAAAGAAATAAGAATACTCTTATACTGCAATATAATAAACTCAATTATAAAATAATCAAATTTTATAAAAGATTAGATATTATAATAATAATAGGGTTATAGATTGTTATAGAAGTTAATAAAGCTTTAACAATTAGATTGAAAATTGTAGTCAATTTGGTCAATTTCAATTTGGTCAATTTGATCAATTTGGTTAATTTTGATTTGATCAATTTAATTAATTTGGTCAACTTTATATGAAGAGATTACTTTGTAGTATGTACTTCAGAATAATCAAGGCTTTGATTATAAAGAGAATATTAAAAAGTTATAAGTATTATGGGTATCACAGCATTATCCCTTTTTTATATTCACTATTAGTATACATCTTGTTTATTTATATGCTTAATAATATAGTTTAGATTCTGTATCTGAATATACTCTATATACATTTCTGACAAATATAAATGAAGTGGAAAACTCGGAGTGGAGGAACTTGAAGAGATACTAGTAATGGATATGGATGAGACTTTTGAATTCAAGAGAAGAGAGGAGAGGATTATAATTTATTATTTATATTTATAAGTGCAACCAACAGCCGAGGGGAGAATTATCTTATCTTATCTTATCTTCTAAACTCGAGTAATGAATCATCATGGTTCGATTCTAAATTTCTTGAGCATTATTATCTATCTCCATGTCATTATTGGTATTTAAATTTCATTTTAGCACTGGCATGATGAAGTTATATATCAGCAGAGCAAAATTATCAGCTCTAGCCGGGACGATTAGAAGATCAGTAATATTTTGTAAATGGACATTTGAACTGATTCTCAGAGAGTGATGTAGTCCTTTAATTTCTATGTTCTTTTTAATAACTAAAAGATTAATAATACTATATTGTAGATATCAGCAACTCGACATATTTTGGGAGCTTATATCAAGTACCGGTATGTATGAGGGGTATGTATGAGGTCGAAATGTGATGCTTTTCTTGAATAGATAAATGCTGACAGCGATAGACAGCCTGAAAGTGTGGTATGAGATGAAGATGAAGATCGTTAGTTGGGGTCAAGTATAAAATTCTTCAGGTAATCGTTCAAAGATACTCTTGTATATATCTGACTTGATCATTTTGGACCCTGTGAGAAGAATTCCTAACTTGAACAGTTTGTCTCCACTACAGTTCAACTCGATTATTTCCATCTCTGAGCTTTTGTGAAACTTTGATTATAGCTTGATCCTCGAAACGAGTCTGATGTCCTGAACTATGTAATCAGTGTGTCCAATAGTCCGAATCACAGGATGGACTAGGTTTTTTCACATAGCTAGTAGTCGAGCTAGTAGGCCAATGAAAAGGTAGATTAGCTAGTCTATGGATATTTATTAGTTAGATTAATTGGATTATAGTTTAGACGAGCCAGATTAGTTTTAATAATATATATATATTGAAGTTATCAAATTATTCGAAAAAGTAAATAGTATATCTTTATTATTTACTAGATTAGGTAATGGAATTGTATAAAATATATAGGATTCGGAGATTTTGAACTCTGTATATATCTATATTAAACTAAATATAAACTATAGATAACAATTTGGACTTTTTTATTTTAGATAAGCTAAGCTATCTTTTTTATTTTAAATTCACTCCAATAGTCCATCTAGTCTAATTAAATCATAGACTGCCGCCCGGACGGAAGACTGCAAGACTATTGGACATACTGGGAACTAATGTGCCAAAACGTTTAGACATCTAGTCAAATTCAAGAATCTCTCATTATCGGTGTGCAATCTAGATCGTCATGTCATATCATAACTAACTTCATCGTAGGCTAAAAGGAAAGGTTATGGAGGTTCGGAAAGAGAAAACCCAAGGTCCATGGCCACCAAATGATAGATCTGTGGACGCCTGTACATGAATGGTAGTGACTTATTCAATAATTCGAAATTGCATCCCAATTCAGCAGCAGATACATAATACTAAGAAAAGCACCACGCAGCAACGTACTCTCGCGTGTCTGCCTCAAACCGGCTAGTCTTGCCTCCCTCATTTGCGAACCAAACATGCCCCTTGTCAGATAAAATAATAAGACGGCGAAAGACTGATTCAAGATAATTTCTGATGGTATTCATAATTCAATATCCAAGGAACTATATCTATAATCTAACAAATACAATGAGTGACATTGAAGTAAATGGAAAACACCCATAGACGTACCAATGCTAGCTCCGCATCCATCACGCACCCACCTTCTCCAACGGTCTCGCCTCGCACCTTGCATACTGTATGTACACTACTGTAATTAATCCTTCAATTGGCTAACCCCCCTACTGCGACTCGCCTATCCCAATCAAGCCTCGAGCATTTACCGCTCCGCCCACTCGGAAGCTCCCGGTGTGAGCAGATATTCATGGCCATGATGCGTGTCGTTAAAGTAAGCCTTTTCTCGATTGATTGTGTGTGAATGGGAGGTCCAGAGTGCTTCATCTCTGGGAATGGGATTATGTAATGGTTAGGTTATGGTTATGGTATGCAGCGCGTTTATCGGTGCATTGTTACTATCGAAAAATTCGTAATCGACCGATGTCAAGACTTTATTGTGTGTACATTGTAGTGATCTCGAAGAGTCGACGAAGACTTGAATGCACATGTATGACGATGGTGAAATGTAGGATGATGAATAGGGAAGGCGTTATTGATGTGGGATGTTTGAAGGGGCGACGTAAAAAGAGACAAGTAGTGTAAATATCCTGTGAAATCACAACATTGGAGATATAATTCAGTAGCACGATATTCAAAACAGCGAAAGTACCAATTTCACGAGACTTTCCGATATATTGATACTGCGCCTTAAAAGAAACCAACATCATGCAATTCTCAATCATCCTCGCCGTCTTCGCCGGCACCACTCTTGTTGCAGCACGTCCCGCTATTCCTGTTGCACTCTAAGTACGTATCGAAGAATGCAGTTGTGCTGATGTGTAAAGTGCTTATGCTGTCTGTCTGTTGAAACTTTGTGGACATGGCTGCGATGACGATGATGTTGCTCCTTGTGTCGCTAGTGTTGGTAGGTCAATACAGAGATGTCATGAAGTTTGAGATAATGCTAACTTTATGCAGAGGCAGAATGTATCACGGATTGGACCACTTGCCCATTGCCATCTACTACTTCATAAAGACTGTTGCATTTAATTGTGGGGGAAATTATTTGGGGTTTGAACGATAGTTATGATTATGATGAAATAAAAGTTTGGGGTTGACAGATTTGGAGTTTGCTCGGAGAATTGGCCCTGCCCAAATGATATATGCTTTCGATGCATACGAAATTTGGAATTCAATGATAGAGTTTCAGGATCCCTAGGATAAATTTCTCATAGCATCCTTATCAACCATGAAGAAAGCCAGCTGTTGACCCAGTTGCACGATTGCAAAACATCCGTCTAGGGCAATGTCTTCCCTAACGTATAAATCTAACACTTCATTTCTCAAATGGAGCACGAGATCCCAAATCGAAAGCCCCTTCCTTGTACGGATGAGAATATTGATGCAAACAGTGTACCGGTATATTGGGTTCATTCGAGCTCGCTTGTCTTTTACGCCTCATACAATTCAGTGACGTATAGTCGGAGGGGACAACTTCGCCGTTGTCATGACCAATGGTGATAGGCCGTCGTTGGACCATGTTGAGCTCAATTTGATAACCATCTGAGAAGTGATTTTCGAGCATTGCTTTACATCCTTCTTTTTCGAGAGATATGCGTTCAGTGACAGAGATACCATCTTTCCTCGCATCTTCATACAATTTCAAGGCAGCTGAAGAAAAGGATCTAGGAGGAGAATTCATGGTCGATTGAACTCGTTGGTCAAGTTTTTTCCTAAATGTGGGATTTCCCTACGAGATATTTTAGACAAATGTGGCTATTTTGGAGTGATTACTTACTGTAAAGATCCACGAGGATTACTGTTCTTGATGTTGATAATGGTCGGTCTGGATAGATGCTGCTGGATAGATTCTCGCTGGGTAATGGAGAGATCTGATATAACTGTTGGTAGCTAAACACTAGAGAGCAGAAAGATTTCAATATTCTCGAGGTTGAGGATCTTGCAAAGGGATAAAGCATAATCACAAGTATCTATATAACACAGCGACCAATCAGCCAACCTCCCAACCTCCCAACTTCCCAACCAAGCAATTCGTGGAACCAATAAGACTCCCGCTAAAATCAATGCAGCTTGACGCCCAGCGAAAGAGCAATCTGAGCTATCGGATTTGCTTTTCCCCAATAATTGTAATATTAGGCAGCAGCCTCAAGAATATATACAATACCGCTTGGTTGCATTAATTTAATTGGATGACTACGAATAGCAAACGCCACACACCAGAGACAACTTGCCTCAAGTGACTCAAGGTTTCACAGTATACAATAGTAGCAATTTCATATTATCAACGAAATTGATATTGGCAGGGCAACAAAACTTTTTATCTCTACCGACTTTTCATATTGCTTGTTTTTGGAGTTGAGGAAACTTGGTCGAAAAGCTCCTAAATGTGCAGCTGGGTTTGCGACCTAAACACCCTAAAATTCTTAGCGCAAAAAGGCGACCTATCAGAATCTTCATCTATTCCACCCTCCAAATGACATCCAAACGTTTGATACAATGACTATTGATATATATATATATATATATGAGCCGGATGCACAATGGCGCACGAAAATCTTCATGAGCTATAGGCAGTGTGCATCCATTTGAAGAGAACGAGCAATTTTGCACTCTAATTTCTTCTCGATGGCCCCAAGACTCACACTATGTCGAAAATGCGAGCCCTGCCGAACATGACATCCATCTTCACTGCGGTCCTACCTAGGCCTGGTTAGGTTACATTTGTTAAGGCGATCTTTGGTGATGGGAATTATTATACTCGAGTAGGCACGGCAGGACAATGCCAGACGTTATGCTTAATCAGCTGTCACCATTTCCCTTTGTTTTATTGTTTGCCTTTGACTGCCATTATTGTCACTACCATGGAAAGCTTCATGAGTGCATGGAATTTGCTCCCCATTGGTTATCAAGCCGCTGTACTCCGTACATGCTACACGTCTGTGGAGACAAGTGAAAGTTCCACTGGAATAAAGCACTAGTGAACCAATCCTAGTTTATCCCAATCGCTGGCGGAGCTGGATAATCTTACATCCAACCGAACCAACTCCCACATAAGACAAGCATTATTCGATCGAACAACTTCCTAAGGTTCAGACATCTCTCTTTGAAATTTTCAGTTCAATAGTCTCATCAGAAGATGTTCAGACGACCCTTCTATTTCGCTCTTGCAGCAGCTCTTGCATACATAGCATATTTGCTTGCCGGATTCACTACGCAAGAGGAAAAATACACCACAAAAAAGCCTTTAGAATGGCCTGGTAAGAACAATACTGTCTTGTTTCTCTCCAACAGTGAGCATGGGCTGGCGAATGTCCTTCTGGCAACCAGTCATGCTTTACTGGTGGAACACAACGATCTCGATATTCATTTTGTGTCATTTGAAAAGTTGAAGAATGACATTGCGACCATATCTAAGTTTGCGGCACAAAGTTCTGGAAGCAAGAGGGCCATCAATTTTCATGAGTTGAAAGGAATATCGTATGCGAAGGCACTGAATAGTAGAGGATTCGCTGTCGATGAAGCTATCAATGCGCCTGGGATCACGGGATTGGGAAAGTTTTGCAAAAATATGCAATCATTTTTGATGCCCTGGACAGCCCCTGATTATCTTGATCTATACCGAGAGATATTTGGCATACTGGAAGATATAGATCCGATTGTTGTGGCTCTGGATCCATTATTCGGTCCTGCTCTTGATGCCGTGCGAGCTCAAGGACGCAATCATGCTATTATTTCTCCAAACACGTTGAAGGACAATTTTGCACATTTGCAGCCAAGGGGCGCTGTACTTTGGAAATATCCAGCGTGAGTATCCTCCGAATTTTCCGAGACCTACTTTTTTACTCATGATTCTAGTATGAGTTCTGGATACGCATATCCAGTGCCCTGGTATCTCATCCCGTCCAATATCTACTTGAACCTACGACTCGCGTTTAGCATCTTCGTGGCTCCAGATCTCAAGGAGAAAAAATCATGGCTCAAGAAGAATGGAATTGCCAAACCATTGGATGTCTTCACTGTATACCACGAGGACCACCCTTGGCTTACACAAAGTTCGCGAGAACTCGACTATCCTTTCGATATAATCCCCGAAAATGTAATACAATGCGGACCAATCTTTCTTTCCACAGCACCAGCATCAGAGCAAGACCCAGAACTAGCGAAGTGGCTGAAGAAATCCCCGACTGTTTTGATCAATTTAGGAAGTTCGGTGAATTATGATGAGATTGCTGCGACGGAAATGGTGAGAGCTATCAGGATTCTCCTCGATAACTCTACGGTTCAGATATTGTGGAAATTCAACAAGCGACATGAATTCACAGATGAATTCTTAGATATTCTGGACGAGGAAATCAAATCAGGGCGTGTCAGGATGTCAAAATGGATACAAGTTGACCCAGCTGCGTTGCTCGAAACCGGAGATGTGGTAGTCTCGATTCATCATGGAGGAGCAAATTGTTTCCACGAAGCCATCGGAACTGGAATACCACAAGTGGTCCTCCCCATGTGGGCCGATCTCTATGATTTTGCCGTCCGTGCTGAGTATCTTGGTGTTGGGCTATGGGGTAGTCGAAATGCTGCGCCAAATGTAAGTCTTTCACTCTCTATCCTCGCTTCCTCGTTGAAAGGAGTGAAGCTATTTCGTGGATGCTAACACCGAATTAGTGGACAGCAGAAGAATTGAGCACTGCTCTTCTAAAAGTTACTGGAGATGGACAAGAAGCAGTTTCTATGCGAGAGAAAGCTCTGGAGTTAAGCAAACCTTATAAGGAAAAACCAGGCCGTATAACAGCAGCCCATGAGCTCGCCAAGTTGGCAAGACTAGCATCAACATCCTGATTTGCAATCATAAAGAGGCAAAGAACCGATGGTCGCCCTATTATGAATCAAAAATCTCAATTATTTTCCAAATAATCCTGGAAATGGATGTAACGGCGAAGGATTCAGGTTGTAGGGATGAAGAAGAGTGTCCTTATTGTTATGATACGAAGTGAGGCTATATAGAATCCACTAGAGTCGCACCTTCCATATTGATCCCTAACAACGGCCTAGATGAGCTCTAAATATAGTGGCGCAGATCAATTGATCTGTTAGTTGTCGCCACCTCCACTTTCCCGCTTAGACAATACAACGTCATAGACGCTAGCTTCATCCCATGGCAATTCGTACCTACTTTATGTGAAAATCCTCTTTCCTCTTTCCTCTTTCCAGTTTCCAGTTTCCGTTCTCAAGAAATTAATAAATACTTCTCAATACTTTGTCTCAATACTTTGTCTCCATACATCAAATCATATCAATCAATCACTTCTCGAAAATGTATATCCCAACTGCCCAAAGCATTTTGACCGCAGGTCTCGCCATGACCGGCACCCTCACCAAACGTATGTCTCCCCACCCCCTTGTCCCCCGCCCTTCCAACCCCTCCAACCCCAACTAACCCCCCTCTCCCCCCAGCCCGTCCCATATCCTCAGGCCACATCCTCGACTACGCCCTAGAAACCTGTCTCGACAGCGACCGCAACGTGCGCTGCACACCTCCCTTCCTAGTAACCAAAAACACCTGCTACACATTTGAATGGAGCACCGATGGAACGCTGTCCCACACCACTGTTGAAGTACGTGATGCGGCTAGTGGCGAAATTGTATTTTATCGGGATACCAATGGAGAGTGGGATTGTCAGATGTCGGAATTGGTGTATTTGGATTTTAAACCCAAGGTGCCGGGGACGGGGAATGATACTGTGGAGTGGAGTGTGAGGACTTGTTGATGAGGGGTGGAATGTGGGGCTGGGATGGGGAGGTGGGCAATTGGGCTTGAGGATTTTTTTGGCGCATGGGGATGGTAATGGTGGGGTTTGAGACGATTGTACGATATTTTAATGTACCATATTATTATTACTGTGGCTGTCCTTGGTGCAAAATCACAGATTCAACGAGTTTGTATTCCACCTTGACTAAAACCTCGTGTACTCTATGTTGTGATCCCATCATTGGCTCGTAGACATCGTTGGAACATCACCACCACACTCCTATCGTCTTAACACACAACCCTGGATGCTCTTACCACACAGCATTCCTACAACGATCAAGGCAGACCGAGAAACAACTCCAGCAGCTTGGGATAATTTGGTGTTCCAAGACCAGTTACAGGATCCCAGCTACAAGACACCGTTAGCACGATCCTCACCAGAGGTCAGAGGGAAAACATACCCAGGCACAGCGCTAAACCCAGCTGTACCGCAATTAGGATTACTTCCATTTGTGATATCGTTCAGAACTTGAGGATTGGAATAAAGCACTGGATTAATGAATCCAACTGTAGATTTTCCGGCCGCGAGACGTTCTTCGTTTATCTATAATTTTGTCAATATTCGAGTATATGCAAATTAAAGGATAGAATCTCACATACCAAATTAATGACAGAAGAGAAAATGGGCGTGCCTAAGAAACATTAGCAAGAAGCTAAAAATAAAACGATGTTTGGATCAAGACAAGACATACTCGCACTTGTCCCACCATTCAAAGTGAATTCTCCATTTAAGAATGTTGCAATGTTATCTCCATTTGCAGAAACATCCGGGATACCTCTTCCAGCGCGGTTGTAAACTCCACTACTAGCCCTAAAACCTGCATTGTCTTCGTAGTAGGCATAAGGAGGGTTGTGATTCGCGAAATATCTACAACAGTTAGTTTGCATATAGCCAGTAACCATCCAGGGGGAACTCACGTGGCTACTGCTTCTTTTTGGTACGAGGGAGTATTGTAAACATTACTAAACCCTCCCCCTGAAGAGTATGCACGAGAGTATGGTTGACCTGCTAGATCGTTGGCAGCACTCTCGGGCTCGAAAACTGTATGGCCCGGGTAGACTTTCGTGGCACCGACTGCTGTGACGTATGGACAGCTGTTTTGATTGTTAACATTTGTTCTTGCCCTAGTCGTCGACAGGTGCTTGTATGCTATAAGGTTAGGGAGATAGGAATCGAGAACACCTACTTAACAGGAAATTGAGGATTGAAGATGGTTTGGTTTGGACCCAAGCATCCGCTTTCTGTGGCATCACCAGGAACCCCGCCAACGCCAAAATCCCCAGAAGAATAGAGAAAAGTGTGTCCCTGTAAGCCAAGTTTCAAGTATCTATAACCGTATGAGCATTTTCACCACTGAACATATTGCAGGATTAAGTACTCATTGCATTGTCTCTTCATGTAGTATTCGGGAAGATCAATTTCTGCTTCACCGTAGGACGTTGAAACTACATTTGTGGGCTTGTAAACACCACACATCAGCTTTCCTTTGTAACCATCTGCTGCAGAATCAGGGTAGGCAGGATCAAGAACAGGGTCATCGCCAGTCTCGCCATAAGCTGAATATGTGCAGTATGACTAGCGACAATGGTCAGCGATGCAGCTCAAAGTTGAGGAATGAGAATACGCACTCCATCAATAGCATCGAGAAATGTATTGAATGCGCCCGCGGTAGGATTTTCGTTGGAATAGTTGATATCATCTGTTTGATATAGTACGAGTTTCTGGGGATACAATAAAGGATATGCCAATTCAAAATCTAAAGAAGATTCCCCACCTCCTTCAGAAACACTGACTGGAGCCACGGCGCCATCCACAAAACCAGGAATTGGATGTGTACCCTGTGGAATGTATGGGGTATAATTCGCAAAGAACAGATTCAGATCTTCTTGATCATAGAAGTCTCCTTCTTCCCAGATGCCCATTGCATTATTGGGATTTGCTTTATTGGCGAGAGGTATATGATAGAGGGCTTTGATACAGGCTGGAGTGATGGTTTCGTCACAATTCGCTAATGAGCTCGGATCATAGTATGGGTGGGGGTTGAATGCGTTCTTTGGTCGTCGCAACGGTCCATGGCCCTTCTCCCTCCCCAGATTGGTGCTACGTTTGGATACTCGCCCCTTTTTGGTGGAGATAAGTTTTACTCCAGGAGTAATGTAATCCACATGTGGTTGTACATAAGCTGGAAGGTGGTACCTAGAATATTGCTCGTAAGTAATTAACAAATTTTACATGAGGTTAGAATCTTATATGAATCGCTAATGACAAGGTAAGAGGAGTACATAAGAGAAAAGGATTCTCACTCATCACATGCTGCGGCTATTTCGTCAGTTGACGAATGCTCGTATGTATAATATTGAGTATTGAGTAGTGACTCGAGCTCACTCGTCGTCGCATCGAATGCGTACCACCCCTTTGTATCGGAGTGAACAATTCGACTAGCCGCAATTCCGGAGTCGACCAGCCAGTTTCGTACAGTATCAATCGCTTCATCCGAGGGTGCAAACATTTCATGTACCTGTTCTGCTGTCCAGTGTTTTCCATAATTTGAGGATTTTGGATGCGAGCTGTTAAGTAATGAGCATGATAGAATGATACAAGATACTCGTATACTCGTAGTGATCAGATCCCCAATATCATAGACTAATTTACTTACACATCCATAAGGAAGTCATGTCCTTTTTCGAGATTGCCCTCAGCTAGACCGATACGCACAGGAAGTAAAGTCATGCTCGCAATTCGGTCGCGCTTCATCCATTGTGTATGAGGGGCATGTCGCTTTTCATGAGAGACAAGTGATGGACGTAAGGAAGGTGTATTAGAGCTGGGAAGAGCAGCAGCGATGATTCCCGGAACAATCAATACAACTGAGGCAAAATAAGAGAAATGCATTTTGATTCCACGATCTTGGCAAATATCAGGGGTAAGACCTACATAATTGAGGTTATGTACTTTTGAAGACTTATTGAAGCTGTGAGGGGTCATTGCCCAAAGGATGGACAAGTACTACGAACCCTGCAACACTTGTTGTCAATCCGGAAGGTCACTACCTATTCTACACCTGCTTATAACGGTTTTATGCAGTGCTTAGGTATGTATCTCTGAATTTGGAAGTTATCTCCAGTTCTTGATCATCTTGCATCATTGAAAAGACGGAGCCCGAACAGAACTCATTCGTTCCTGTGCTAGACGGCTATCGATAGATAAGGGTGTTTTCGTGCCAACGATCAATGGGGTTTGTCGTCACCATGATGAACGCAATTAACGTTATCGTGCCACTGAATTGAAGTTGTGCTCATCTACCTCTTCATGCCCACTTGAAAGGCATCATTATTGTTTCGTCCCTGAACATTATCACAGTACTCTCCACTGTTGCTTCAAGATGGTCATGGGTGGCTACAGCGGGAAAAGCTCACCTTCACCACAGTTACTTAGAAATCATAATGATCAGATCTTCAGAACTTCGAGAGGAATTCGCATCAATTTTGCAGTAACAATAAGACCATGTGATTGGATTTTATGGTGTTATTGGAACGTTGATGACAAAAATGATCAGCAACTGTACCTTCTGTACGGTTGACCTAATTTACTTTAGCGCAAATCTACAACCAGCTCTTCCCCCCACCATCACAGGCAAATGATGAGGGATACAAACTCAATTCTCACCACAACGACGAGATGAAGCAAAGGTTTTCGTCTATTGACGTGAAGGTATGCCAAATAGAAACTTTAATGAAACTTGTATGCCCATTTGATATGTTCTAACGCTTCCCAAGGTCATCGCCCACGAACTTGCAAATGCCTTGGTTACCTTGCGTGTCTCTAATATTTACGACCTCTCATCGAAGATTTTCTTGGTGAAGTTCGCAAAACCAGACAATAAGCAGCAGATCCTTATAGATTCGGGCTTTCGATGCCATCTCACCGATTTCTCTCGAGCAACTGCAGCTGCTCCTAGTGTATTCGTACAACGACTAAGGAAATACTTAAAGACAAGACGGGTGACGCAAGTTTCCCAAGTCGGGACGGATCGTATAATTGAATTTAAATTCAGCGATGGACAATACAGGTTGTATTTGGAGTTTTATGCCGGCGGAAATGTCATTCTCACAGACAAGGAGCTAAACATCCTAACCTTGCTCCGAGTGGTCGATCCGGGAGAGGCTCAAGAAGAATTACGTGTGGGACTCAAATACTCTTTGGATAATCGACAGAATTATGGAGGAGTGCCAGATCTGACGAAAGAACGCCTTCAAGAAGCTTTACAAAAGGGAGTAGACAAGGGAGAGGATAATTCCGGAAAGAAGAAAAAGAAAGCTGGGGATGCGTTACGAAAAGCTTTAGCTGTGTCCATTACAGAATTTCCTCCGATGCTAGTGGACCATGCGATGCGTATTACAAATTTCAATTCTTCTCTCAAGCCGGCCGAAGTTTTGCAGAGCGAAGACCTTTTAGATCATTTGATGAGATCACTTCAAGAAGCCCAACGAGTTGTTCAAGAGATAACTAGCTCCGAAACTTCCAAAGGCTTCATCATAGCGAAGAAGAAAGATTCTCAGACTACATCAGATGACAATCAGGCCGACGATCAAAAGGGCTTACTTTATGATGATTTTCATCCATTCAAACCACGACAATTTCAGGACGATCCAACATTGGTCTTTTTAGAATCTGAGGGGTTCAACAAAACTGTGGACGAGTTCTTCTCCTCAATCGAAGGACAGAAGCTCGAATCACGACTCGAAGAGAGAGAATTAAATGCCAAAAAGAAGATCCAGGCGGCAAGAAATGAACAAGCCAAACGTCTAGGCGGTTTACAGGAAGTTCAGGCACTCAATGAACGTAAAGCGGGTGCTTTGCAAGCTAATTCTGAACGGGTCCAAGAGGCAAGAGATGCTGTCAACGGCCTGATTGCGCAAGGTATGGATTGGTTCGAAATTGGACGTTTGATCGAATTGGAACAGAAACGCAATAACCTGGTAGCTTCGATGATTAAATTGCCTCTGAAACTTGACGAGAACACAGTAACACTTTTATTGGATGAGGAAGTCTTCAACGAAGAGGAAGACTCGACCTACGAGACTGACAGCGATGTGTCCGAAAGCGAGGATGAGGAGAAGACTGCCAAAATCACTAAAAGGAAGGAGAAGGTTGTAGACACCCGACTCTCGATTGATATTGATCTGTCCTTGTCACCTTGGGCGAATGCACGCAACTACTTTGATCAAAAACGTTCAGCAGCAGCAAAAGAGGACAAGACCTTGCAATCATCTTCAAAGGCGTTGAAGAGCACCGAAGCGAAGATTGCACAGGATCTAAAGAAAGGCTTGAAGCAAGAAAAGGCTATTTTACGGCCTGTGCGGAAACAGATGTGGTTCGAAAAATTTATTTGGTTCATATCTAGCGATGGGTATATGGTACTCGCAGGTAAAGATGCTCCACAGAGTGAGATCCTGTACAAGAGATATCTTAAAAAAGGAGATGTATATTTGCACGCAGATATACAGGGTGCGGCATCCGTTATTGTCAGGAACAATGCAAAGACACCGGACGCCCCAATTCCTCCGCAAACCCTTAGTCAAGCAGGCACTTTAGTAGTTGCTATGTCAAGTGCTTGGGATTCGAAAGCTGGTATGTCTGCTTGGTGGGTGACAGCAGACCAAGTGTCAAAATCAGCTCCTACCGGGGAATTTCTACCAGCTGGTAGCTTCATGACCAGAGGGAAGAAAAACTTCTTGCCTCCTGCTCAACTCCTCCTTGGTTTTGGTGTTCTGTTTCAGATCAGCGATGAGAGTAAAGCTAGACATGTCAAACATAGACATCAAGATGATGAACCACAGGGCGGCTCGACCGAAGATGCTATGCCTGTTGGTGGCTCTATCCTCGACGATGAAGGCACTGAGGACGAGTTGAACCAATCTGACGAAGATGAGCCAAATCCTGCAAAAGACGCCGGGGAGGTTGAGCATCAAGACAATGATGATTCAGACGAAGACAACGCCGACTTGAAGTCCAATCCTCTACAGGGAGAATCAGAGCCAGACCACGAAGCAGCCCCACAAGAGGAGCTTGAAAATATGCAAATCAAAGATGTGGACCCTCAGCAATCGAGTTCTGAGCCACAAGCAGAGCAATCAGGTGAGGATTTTGTTGAGGATTCGCAGTCTACTACCATTGGCACAAAAGCAGCATCCGTTCGAAGTTCACCAAAGAAAGGTCCTGCGCCAGTCAAGCGAGGTAAGAAGGGAAAGGCCAAGAAAATCGCACAGAAATACAAGAACCAAGACGAGGAAGATCGCATAGCTGCTCAAGAAATCGTCGGAGCCGCTGCTGGCCAAGAAAAGGCCCAGGCCGAAGTGAAAGCTAAAGCGGATCTGGAAGCCGAATTTGCTTTTCAGAAGGAACGTCGACGAGTACAACATCAAAGGACGCAGAGAGAAACGGCAGAGCACGAAGAGATTCGCAGATTGATGCTTGAGGGAGATATCGATACTTCTGAAGATAACGAAGCAGAGAAAATGACATCCTTGGATGCATTTGTGGGTTCTCCTTTGCCAGGAGACGAAATCCTAGAGGCAATTCCAGTCTGCGCACCATGGGCCGCAATGGGAAAGTATAAGTACAAAGCGAAGATCCAACCAGGTACCCAAAAGAAAGGCAAGGCTGTTAGAGAAATTCTTGGGAAATGGATGGCAGCCACGAGTTCCAAGGGCGCGTTGGATGAAACGAGTACAGATACCGAAAGAATATGGCCAAGGGAAATGGATTTAATCAAAGGATGGAAGCCTGAAGAGACCACAAATGTCGTACCTGTCGGGAAAGTAAGAGTTTTGATGGCTGGTGGATCAGCAGGTCCGTCTGGTGCAAAAGGAGACAAAGGAAAGAGTAGTGGGGGTAGAGGCGGCAAAGGGAGTAAGAAGAGATAGGCCATACATAGACACCTGTATCTCTCTACCCAATTTCATACATTGGACCAAGCCTCGACGGGAATTTACATGCAGATAGAATATAGGTAATCCTATCGAAATCAAATAGTTCGTACACAGTGAGTGCTTGCGCATGATGCAGATGCGGCTATCCGTTTCTATTTTACCACAATAACTCAATGCCATGATATAAACAAAAACAAAAGCCATATGACAAGGCCGCAAACCTTGACATTGTTTCCTGTACCATGGTATTCCTTATTTTATCACGGTGTCCCACACGGCTGGACTCCGAAGTCACTATCATCGTCCCCGAGGTCATTCGAGCATAAAGAAAGTACCGGATAATTCGCAAGATTGAGGACAGCTTTTATCATTTTCTTCTTTACTATTGTTATATATATATGACACTCAGTCCCCACCATCGTCTCTGAAATTGCTTCCATATCGTCGAATTGACTAGATGAGGACCGAGATCTTCAAAAGCATCAACAACAGCACCATCGCGTTCTCCCTCATGAGCTTATGGGATGGGTAATTTATATCTGCTCGTGCAATAGCTCGATCTAATTGCAATATATATCAAAGTGCACAGGTCCTGTCTGTCCTTAACTTTCAATAGAATGAAGTCAGATAATACACATTGGATAGAAGAATGAAAACGACGAATTTACTTATACAAAAGACAAGGAAATCTCCGAATGTACCAAGGTTATTGGGCAGCGAGGCTCAATACTGATTATGCAAGACTTAACTTTTTGCCCATTCTCGAGGGTTTTTCAAAGAGCTTCGGTTATCGAGCTGGGAAATGGCATTACATGGTCCTTGGATTGTGCCCGTCTGGGCACCTGCATACAAAGTGTCCCTGGCCAAACATCTGTAGTTCTTGGAGCCTGCAAGGAGTCAATCGTGTTAGTCATTTCCGAAAGATTGCATATAAGTGTTTAGAGATGGTTTTATCTTACAGTAAAGATGTTGCTTAATCCCGAGAAGGATACTGTACTCTATATCTTAATTTCGATTTACACAAGTCCATTTATTGGAGACAATCTCTGTTTCTGGAAATCATAGGCCGTGATAATATATACCACGTGCAAAACCTCGGTAGCCACCTGATAGATCCCCAGTGATGAAATTGATAATGTGTTCGTAAAAGATCAAAACCCTCGTCTGCGGACTCGGTTTACATTATAAGGATTATCACTCCATTTGTCGCATTGAAGAAAGTCACTCTGGTTACTGCATACATAACAACAAAGATCTTTCTAATCTTGTATGGATGGACTTTCTCGATATATCCGTCAAAAAAGTACTATAAGAAGCCCTACGATCCTAATCGTAAACACGACTTCGAAGAACACCAGAAATGCCTTGCTTATCACGTTGATCCTGCGGTTCTCTTTCGGCGAGACTCGGAAGTCTTCTAAAATCGGGTACTCACCGTGAGTTTCTCGAGCTCTTCGGTATTCAAGGGCATCTACCCTTGTTATTTATTTCACATGACCTACAAGATGAATCGGAAGATCATCACGATAATTCAATCTCAAAATGTGCTATGCTAATTCAACTTAAAGCCTAACATATCCAAACTAAACGACTTTTCATCATGCCGCTAAGAATTCAACACCAAGACTATGAACTTTTTTGCACCATAATCTTGCCGGTCACAACACTTGGGGATTTTATGGGAGATTGCAAGCAAACTAGACAGATTTCTTCCGAGAGAAAAATCTGCTTCACTAACCTTGTTTGATAACTTAAGCGAAACACAAAAGGCTAATCTAAACCCTCTCGCCAATTTCGAAGTCTCGGTTGTGAACTCTGTGACGCAATCATCCTTCAATTGCTGGTTCGGTTTTTGTTCTTGTTTCTTTTTCTCGTTTTTTTTTCTTCGATACTCTTCGTGGAGAGAGTGCTCTTGATGTCCTGGCGAGTCTCTCGTCGCCTCTTTGGATGGTTTTCGAATTCATCCCGTCTTCTTCTGACTAATATAAATTGACAGATTTATGATCCGGTGGTCCCTAACCCGTTGTGGGAAGCTAATGTGTTCTTCTACTCGAGTAGGCTGCGAATATTTGAGTCATGTTCACGATATATGTAATTGTTTTCATCCTTCTTCGAAACTACTACGCCATGGCGTGATATCCGAGTCTGCTGTCATTATTTCTTTTATTCCAGTGCTACTGTCCAAAGCCGAAATCTTAAGGTGACAATAGCTTCATTAGCGGTATTTTAGTCGCATAGTTACATTATTGCTCACTGGAAATATAATCAAATGTGTTTCCTTTCTCATCATCATCTTACAATTACTGCTATGATCTATCTGGTGGTGCTTCTAATCTCTGCATAATCCCAAATCGTCATCTAACTATATAGCCTCAGACCAGACGGCTCATTAAGTCTCGACTTAGAGTCGATAAGATATTGTGCAGCGAAGATGTGTATATTAAATGTACTAATAAGTGATTTGAGATGATATTCAATTGTGGATGGAAGAGAACAGTTTCTGGAGGTTGTGAATCCTGAAACCGGGTTCAAACGATGAGTTAGTGATTGTCACAAAAGCCACGGAACAAGAATCTCATCAGTTTTATAGGAGAGGTCTGAGATTGGGGTATGGCTGGGGCAGGTATGTGAAATGATCTTGAATTATTAATGTCGAAGTTGGATCTGGGAAATCAGAAACAATGAATGGGATAGAACAACTGTTCATTATGGTAGTGACTGCGGTAGTGATTATGGGAGTATGTTTGGAGAGATACTGCTGCGGAACAACTACTCGACAAGATTATAACTTACTGGCAATTTTCACACTTTGCTAAACAGCTCAGTTCTGCAGTTGGTTGAGAGTCATTTTATAGCCATGTAATATTTCGTTTTAAGTCTTTCTCTATACGGAAATGTATAACTCAATGGGCAGTTCTCTGAGATTGACAAGGGGTGTCACGTGGGTCTCTACCGACTGGTTCCCGACGCGAGCCCCTCCGAAGCGAGAAAACCCAGGAGATCTCAAACCCCCGAGAATATATCCAACAGCAGAATCCTACGCTCCATATAGACCAATTAGGAGCGAGAGGTAAACATATCCATCAGCGTCATCGTCTTCATCATCGTAGTACTAGCCATTTCCCCTATATCCACGTTAGTTCGAGCGAGTCTGCCTCCGATATTGATCTGCATCCTGATGTAACTTTGACTCCAATTTCTTACTCATCACTGTCCTGCACTCAAGACTGGGCAGATTCCATCTGTCTTTGCCATCCGTGACTTCTTTTTCATCTTCGCATTTAGCGAGCAACGTTTCATCAAATTTTTGCTTCTCTATATCAGGATGCTTGGGAGGCTCTTCAATCTCCGTTTCATTGAGCGGGCCCATATCGACCAATTCGTTCTTGAAGACTAGACTCGCCATTTCTGCTTTCTTCATTGTGAAATCAAGCGTGGGGATGTTTCGGGTAGAGCGGAACAATTATCGAGCACGATGGTAAGGGTTTTTAGATTACAGAATGTTCCTCTGAGCATAGATGTCAGCTAATCTTTGATATCCTCATATTGATCTTCGTTGAACGAAAACTCTTCTGGCTCTATACCAACATCGCCAAAGTAATTATCACCGTCATACCTAACCAGCTCAATTCAGACGATTTGGCCTGGTACTGGACCTCTTCCATCATAATGCAGTTTTTTTCTTGAACTCGGCTTGATGATCAGGAAATGTCGAAGGCCGTGGGTTTTGCGCGGTTGACTCGGAGAGTTTTGTTCTCGATAGAAATTGCAAATATCACCAGATTTTAGAGAAGTGGCAGTGTCTACTCTTCCATTCAATTATCAATAACATTGTCGGAAGTGGATGGATGTATGGCATGGAAGTATTGTGGTAAATAATACAAACTACAAGAGAATGAGAGCTAGAAAAAACTAATATACGCTAGTATCAATATAAATCAGCTAGAGTCACTTAATGACCACTAAGATGTAGCACATGTTTCTAAAAAAAAATGAATGAATGTTTTGCAGATAGGATCAACGTATGCTCTTGGGGCTATATTGAAAGAAGGTCAATCTGTGTCGCTTACTAGCTGTATGCTCGAAGCTCTCTTCACAACAGCGCAGTAAGGTGTGATTCATACGTATAATTTATGTCTCCAATCACATACTTTCACGCATGATGCATTCAAGAACTAAGACTCCGAGTATCATTGTGTATTTTTGTTAGAACGCATACTACTGTACCCTGTACCACGTGCTGATACCCTAGCATTGTGCCCTCGGCTAGTACTGACGCTAGCCTTAGCGCATACACTAGCTAGCTTATCATTACAACTGTAATGTAGAATATATACAATATAATACACAGTTACACTTCCAACAATTTTAATGATACCTGATAACGCTAAGGCCACTCCAACAAGACCCGACCCAACTCAATTAGCCATGTAAACTTCCGCAACAAGCTACCCTCCTCACCAATCCAGTCCATCACCTGCAGAGTAATTTCATTCGCTCTCACCCTAATCCGCTTGATTTATAGAACGTTTTGCGTAATAAAGATGTTTGCTCCGCTCTAAAGCTGCCTTTAGCTTCGCAGGGACGACGATCTTATATTCTATCTCCGGGAGGTTAAACGACTCGTGGCCGCCAATATCAAGACGCTCCTTATTGATTTTCGCGAGTCCTCGGACGACACTTCGGAATGGAATACTCGTGTACAAATAAGTGCAATATTTTGGCACCAGCCCACCGTACTCTTTTTCCTGTCGAGAAAGAGGGCGACTCTGTTGGTAGAAAGAGAAAGTGTTTTGAACATCAGTTAGTTCGTCCATGAACACAAGATCTGCCTTCTCTTCTGCCGTCATCTTCAAGTCCCGCCAGTGAGGAGATGATACGCAATAGTCGACCACAATGGTAAACGTCTTGAGGTTGCGAAATGTCCGCGCCAAAATCTTCCACAACCATCCCGAAAGTGCACCCCAGGGTACATATTTGTCGTCAGGAGTCACCACCATAGCAAGGTTCTCGATTGATGTAAAGTCCGGCTCCGCTGCCAAATCGGAGATCCCTGATAAAACCGGCTCTGGGTCAATGCCTCGCTCATCGAGATTGTAGCTAATTGTAGCATCGGTCTCATCAAGATATTTGGGGGCAAACGTCTCTTGAGAGACTAAGAGTGTATCTTCCTGGTGATTGAAGTACGTTTGCGGAATTGAGACCGAACCTGGTCCTTCGTTGTCACCGGAGCATTTGAATACTCGTGGATACCATTTCATGGCGACTTCATGCGACTCGCGGCAAGCCAGAAGGATCCCTGGTATCGGAGCATCCGATCTAAAGCCCCATAATTTACTGTATTTGACCAGATCACCGTGCTCATCCTCTTCATAGCCACACTTTTCAGGATCATTATCACGCCAATATGCCTCCTGCTGTGCCAGATTCCATTCTTCTCGAATAACGCGTCTTTGGATTTGTCGGATATCGACGATTCGACCAGATGGCTTTCCAAACTTCCAGATCATAAGACGGACCTCTGTCGAAAGTTTTCGAAAGTGCTTGAATCTTTTGGTCATTTTGTTAGACGTGAGAATTATTGGAGACTTGAGTTTATTCTTGAGGAAGTTGATGCCTTTGAAAGTTTATGGATAAGACGATGAAATTTGAGAATTAGATGTAGGAGGAAGAGAGCTGGCTGGGAGGAAGGGGAGGAAGAGGTCCTTAAATGCAAAAGAACGTACGGCAGAGTCACATATCACATACCACATGACTATATGCCGTAGACGTTTATCCAATAGGTGCTGTATTGTGACGATTGGCTTCAAAATACCGTATTCGCAAAATTGGACATGGAAATAGTAGGCGCGAAGATAGCTGCCACAGGATAGTGGTTATCATCTGTGTTCGGTTACTCTTACGACCAATTATCTGCCCCCAGTTCCAAACTGCTTTGTAAATGGCAACAAACACAACCAAGCTAGAAACAACAGAAATGTAATCTCGTCGCGTATGGCTGAGAATGTGCCCATCATGATGAAGGCATAGTTTGCAAAGTTAATTCCACACTTGCCTGCAACTAATGTTTAACCTCTTGCCCTTCATATAACCCCTCCATCTTTCATACTCTTTCGGTTCTTTCTCTTCTTGCGTAGATCCCACAGGCCATTCGGTCAAGCAAGGCGGACATGTGCCTCCCATGATCTTGGGCATGGCATGCCAAGCCCATCTTGTCTCTCCGCCCATTTGAACCACATCACCACTTCTGACCCGTATGCAAACCATATCCTGTTCCCTGTTTTCAATGCCTTCCTCTCCTTTCTTAACGTCTCTACTAATAACAAACAGCCCATCGCAGCCCAGCGAAAAACTCGCAAGGCCCCTCTCGCATTCCTCGGAAACGTCTCGATGCACAGGCATGAAGTCTTTCGTCGTGTATAGTAGGACAACCCCTGATTCCGGGGTAAACGCATTCTGGAATAGAGTAGTAACAAGACGAGAAACATCAGTCGGGAATGGAGTCGCAGAATCTGAGGGATATGCTCGGGTGTTCCAATTATATTGGGAGCCGAGAGTTAGCCACCGGAGTTTCTTCTGAAGAGCTTGTGCGGCATTGAGTGGTTTGTGCTTGGAATTTGGGTCTTTAGGAGCAAATACTTGGGTTTTGGATTGGTGCGGGTAAGTGAAGAAGGAAGAGTTGGTAGGGGGGTATGGTATATCATAATCATCGTGAAAGTTCGTTTTGTGCAAAGGATTTGACAACTCGCGATGGAGGAGCCGAGAGATAAGTAGAGTTTGGCATTCTGGTGGGAGAAGCGCAGGAAACAATCTCAATCCTGTGAAGAAGTTAGATACTTGTGAAATGCCTCTGTGATTGCGTAAGCGTACCCGGAAAGCCGCTGTGCTCATAAATCGTACAGGCTTCTGAATGACCAGGATCATATTCAGCCCCAGCATTCATGAAATCATTCTGAGCTTGAGCAATCAATTCCGATGGAACGACACCCACTGGACTCATCGTCTCCCTTTGCTCGGGAGTCAGACCACGATTGAAGTCCACGATATTGAGATCATCATTCACTGCTGCATCACTCATTCTCTGATACTTTTTATAAGCATCACAGATCGCCTGGGGAGGCGTAGCATGGGTATCACGGCCATGATGACCCTACAGAATCGTTAGAGTCATCAAACAATTCCCTAGATCAGACATACATCACTTGGACCATCCATAGTCACGTGTGGAGTGGTCCTTTCGCAAGAGCGATATAGCTGACCACTGCAAGTTTTGCTCTTGATAAAATCGCCGAGTTTTGGGATCTTCCTTGGTGAGGCAATTTTACGACAGATGATCATTGACCTTGAGGTTCTCGTTTGGATATTTGCTTTCACTTTGCTCTTGTCAGGGATATAAAAATTACAAAAAATCTTCAACGTTCCCGCGACAGATATGTGGTGCGGCCGCTAGCGCTAGGCTAGACTATTAGGGGTAAGGTCGGCGCTCAATGAGACCAACCTCCCATTCTTCATTTGCAACAACTCTCACATGTTTTGGTTCTCACCATTTCCATCAAGTCCCTGCTATCACGACCAGCACGCTGTGATCGAGGATTCAAGCTGGATCTTTGATTTTATTTCAAAACCTGCAATATAACCATAGTAATAAGACAGTTTGACAATAAAAAACGTTTCTATCAGGATCCGGATCTAACAAATCTGTTCACAGTGGAATTCAACAGCATATCAAAACTTTCTCGGCCTATAGCTATGGCCCTTTTTTTGATCTATATAGATGTAAGGAAAGCCGGTAGCAGGGTGGCCAATAATCCGGACTAGCAGATCAGATTCAGGTTTTCAATGTTCGAAAAGCTATAAATGTCTAAGGATGGTTTGATCATTCAAATGGATTCACTGACTCAAATTCTCTCATATTTGGACTGTAATCCGGATTATTGGACAACCCTGCGGAATAGTCCTTGACTACTTCCTTCGATTAATATCACTCCGCTTCTCCTTTTTTCACCCCTTATATCCTCTTAACTCCACCCACTTTACCATTCCTTAAATTCCCAGCCTGATTATTTCCACTTCTCAGCCATAACTGACCCATGATGGATTGCCGTCATGATTGTGATAGCCAATATCATGACTATTTCTTTAAGAATCATGAAAAGAACTTCTTCATTGGCAAGCTTCAATTGGAAGCCCTTAGCAAGCTTGGCCACACAGAGCATCGAGCGAATGATGACAAGAACGATTGCTATGGTAAGACCTGCAGATACTATTAATATAAGCACTCAATATGCATCCGGGATATTCATGTCATAGCACAGCCACATAGTTCTCTTCCCTTTAGG